ATTATTAAAAACTAATAAACGATAAAAAAAATCCTATAACATTCACTTCACTTCGTACGAAAACTGGTTTCGGTTATATGACTCTGGAGGAATCAGAACAAAATTATATATATTGGAATGATGTGAATAAACTAGTCGAACGGTTACAAATTTTAGTGACGTCAAAAACAGCGGGTAACAAATATCTCAATAATGAGATTTTCTCAATAGTAGAGGAGGGAATTATTGTTTAATTAGAGTATATATAGTAAACACAAAAAAGATTTTTATTTATAATCATCATGTCTGTTGACAAGTTTTGACAATTTTCTAATTTTTTTTTCTAGTTTATTTTAGTTGTACTATTAAAAATGAATTTTGAAATTAAATTTTTAGCACAATGTTATTTTCGACCGACTTTATGAACATCTGTAGACTCTCATGTAGTTACCAATTTAACCTCTACACGTTTTTCAGGATTTTGCATAGTTTTCCCATAGACCGAGTTGTTCATTAATTTAAAAAAATCTTTTTCAAATTTATTCTTGGCATTCTGTCTATGTAAAGTGTTTAAGTCAATATAAGTCTTTAGCCAAGGTTTTTGTAAAAAGCGAACCCCTCCATGAATGGTTTTTAATATTATTTTGTATGCATTGTTGCAAATTTCTATAATGGATTACGTAATTTTTTTTGTTCCCGAGGTAAGCTATTATTTTTTAACAATATCCTCTTTAGATGCAAAACTATTTGACGGACAAAACGGAAGATCATTAAGTGTATCATGAAGGCGATAAGGGTAAATTAAGTCTAATTCCAAAAAATATACCTACTCTCTATCAATAGATATATTATGTATATCAAACTTTTTTAAGTCATTAGGGGACAACCATTCAAACCCTTCATATGGAAGAGGTTGTGACATTGCCTATATGGTTGTTTGCATCCAAATACATTAAAAATTATGATTCCTTTGTTGGATCAAAATCTATTAAGTATTTGTTATTTGCCTTTGTATAACTATGGCAACATTGTACTAATCCCCCTCGAATGCTATTTTGAATAAATATATACATATCGATATCTACTAATAACTCTAGTTGAATATTTGCGGTCTTTAACATGGCTGCCCAAGATAGACCTGGTGTAGTAAAAAACTGAGCAACTGAGGGTGTAATGAATAAATTTGTAAACATATTTTTTCTAAAATTTTCAAATATATAGCAGTCAATAGGAAAACATCAGTTTTTAAATACAACTCTAGATAATCCTTTAGACTTGAACAAGAAAATTGTGACCAGACATTATGTGCGTGTTCATAATCATCTTGAGAGCATTCCTTTCTGTCAAGTAACTATAGAATGCTGCTCTTAATGGTAGGGAAGTTTCATCAAGTCATCTTTTTTTTTTTTAAAATATGTTTTTATGTTTTGGACACCGGTTTATGGTTTTGGGCACCGAAATATATTAATCGTTATTTTACTGGGATTGCATTAATACTATCAGGAATTTTAGCCAACTCTTCAATAAATAAATAACAATCATATTTAGAAAAATTTTGGAAAAACATTGGTATAATTTACATAGTCTGTACTCGATGATGGAGTGGGGCGGATTAAATTTTCCACGGCAGATATATCGCAATTTTATCAATTTTTATTTACGGGAGTCAACCGTCTTCGTACAGTGTTAAATTAGCATAGTACTTAAATCTACGGGGGGAAAATGTAAGTGCCGCTCGGAGAGCGGAGTGCAGACCCTTAACAGTGCGAGAGAGCGAGATGAGAGCGATCTGGAAACACTTTTCTCACGACCGTTAAGGCCCCCAGGGCCGGTTGGGAGGCGAACTTGAATTGGGCCGCTTTGGCGTGAACACTCCAAGTTACATTTAGAATGACCTGCACCCCCAAAAAGGCCTGTTAAATGGCAATGATCCTTAACACTATCATTTAATAATATTTTTTTACAAATATGGCAATTTAATGAATCCTGAAATTCAAACTCGTCTTCAGGAGTCATTATGATTGGATTAATTTTATTTTTGATAAATCTTTTACAAGAGAGTCTACAAAATTTGATCCTGCGTTACTACCTATTTTTAATACAAATTTATCTAGATTAGAATCAAAGGCAAACTTAATATTATATAATAATCATAAGCTATAGGTATATGAGAGTTTAAATTGAATAATTTTGGGCTTACTAAAATATTTCTGGGCTCCAGTACAAATTCAAAGTCGGCGCACACGACAAACGGAACCTCAAGCTGCTGGCGGTGTTGGGTAAACTCCAGAGTTCGCTTGTGAATTTCCGGTAGCTTGGAGACTTTTCCGATACAAACAATCTTTTGTCTTAGAGCAGCATCCGCAGATCCAGAGAATTCAGTCAAAATGCTTTCCAATTCCTATATTTCGGGTATAGGTCATACGAGTCCAAGATCATTACATTACGTTCGTAATTCTTTCTGTTTTCCCCAAGTGCTCACTACTACCCTAAAAAGGTAAAAATTTCTTTAATTGGGGGTCCCAATATAGACCCTCCATAAATAAAAAGTTTGTTTGGTGTCATTGGAAAGCATTTTTCAAGCCCTTTTCAATAGTTTGCATTATACGATTGTAAGTTAAAAACTGCAACTTTTCATTAAAACGCTTAAAAATAAATGTCTACACCTACACGCACAAGCAGATATCAGCACACACTTGGGGATTGGGGTGAGTTCGCAGCTCCACAGACAAGCAGACCCGAGCGCACACTTGAGGGTAGGGGTGAGTTCCCAGGAGAACTCACCAAAGAGATAGCAAAGGGTCATGTCTTTCAGAAAACCAATGGAGGGATACATACCGATATCACTCCATTTTTTTTTTCGCGACTCCCGTTGCTTGACGTGCAACCCACCTCCCACGTCGGAATGTCAGACTTGGATGAAAGAGACTGTTCCCATAAAGAGAGGGTCACTTTTGGTAATCTACTGGTGCACAGGAATACCAGGAGACAGTCCCAATTCTCAGTGGAAATGTCGGAATAAGCCAGAGCGATCAAACACCCTTGGATTGTGCTCTGAAGATCTTTCAGAGCCTGGTCTGATTCGGAATTGACGGACCCCAAGTTAAAAAGGTTGAGTTGGCTGTTTACTAGCAGTCTCTTATTTTCGAAACGGTCTCGAAGCGCTGCCTATGCTGAAGCGAAACCCTCATTTGTTAGAGGGGACTTGGCTACGATTGCCTTATCCTCGCCGCTAGTTTTAGCGTTGAGATGGAAAAGTTTTTCAACCGGTGTCAGCCGAGTATTGTTGACATAAATTGCTGGGAAAAAATCTCTAAATGTTGGCCATTTTGGATGATCTCCCTCGAATACTTCAGTGTCGCATGGCGGTAACCGGAACCCAGACGGAACGTAGTTGGACTGATTGGGTGGAAGGGCGGAGGTTGAATGCTGCGGAGTGGCTTGATCCATGGGCTCGTTGAGCTGAACCGATAGGTCTTCGTACACCGAATAGCAATATTCATATTTTCGATACAGAGTCGCCAGAATCTCCTCCTCTCCTTCAGTCGTAATGCTGCAAACCGTGTCTTGACACGATTCAAATTCTCTCTCGGCTTTTTCCCAGAGTGAGCGGACTTGTTCTTTACGGACCTTGCAGGTGTGGATGGACTGAGCTGATTGTCCTGGAGTTTCTATGGTCGTTCTGAAATGACTCATCCGGTCGGACACCGTGATGAACCGCGCGAGGGCTGCAAATGCAATGTCGTCGCTCATTTTTGCCTGAGAACGAGTTTTTAGCGACTTTTCTGACTTGGTCTGGATTTGTGACCTAACCTTAGGCGTTAGCGGGCTTAGACCCAATCGTTTTTGATGGCTCGTAGGAACAGACCACTTCTTGTCGCCTTCTTGGGTGGCTAATGAAGTTTCGCTCCTTGCCTTCGTTGTTGGCTTTGAAGCTACTGGGCTTGAGGTGCGGGCGCGAGGAGATGCGGATAGCATTTTGTCTCCGGGCATTCCGGGAATCAGATTAACTGAGCAACCCTGAGTGGCTTCGTAGGAATCAGACCACTTCTTAAAAATTTGTCCTGGGATACGGTATCGCTCTTGCGGATCACCGGGGTGGATTTAAAAGGAACCGGAACGACGAACGATGAGAGCTCCGGTCTTCATTTGAAATTTGGAACGAACCGCTTTAATGTGCACGTAAATAACAAGAAAAAATGTATTTATTTATTTATTTAATAGATGTGAGCCGACGGCGTGTTGGACAGGCTTGCAGTGTTGAAGGGTACGTGAAATCAGATTATTTTGATAATAAATAATATAATATATTATATATATTTAATATATAATATAATAGATTGCTGTTGAAATTTTTGTTGGGTGTGCCGTTTGAACGAATGTGTGTTGCTTCCTTATGTATAATATAATATAATAGATTGCTGTTGAAATCTTTGTCGGGTGTGCCGTATGAACGAATGTGTTGCTTCCTTATGTACATATGTTGAGATGGTCGGGCATATGTACGTACATCAAAGAGTGTGCATCTGGATTATCTGTGTTTATGTATGGATGTGTGTGTTTGCGGGAAATTGTAATTATAAATGATGTGGACTGTATTGTAAATGTCGCTTTCGAAATGTTTGTAGGGTGTGCCGTGTGAACGAATGTGTGCTTTTCTTCTATATGTACATATGTTGAGATGGTCGGACATATGTACATACATCAAAGAGTATGCATAAAAGAAAGTAGCAGTACGATAAAAAAGCCGGAATATGGCGATCGTATGCACAAATGGAAATAGCCGATCAGACAGATTTAAGAAAGTTGGGTTCGTGGGAAATATCTGACTGGTCGGCAATGGAAATATGGAAAATTCGTACTTATCTTTATTGAGGTAAGAAATCCGCCTGTTGAACGCTGGTATGGTATTTGATCGTCTCCTGGAAAATCCGGTTTGAAGGACCAAATGATGGCACACGGCAGATATATTGAAATTTTATAAATTTTTATTTACTGGAGTCAACCGTCTTCGTACAGTGTTAAATTAGAATAGCACTTAAATCTACGGGGGGAAAATCCAATTGCCGCTCGGAGAGCGGAGGGAGACCCTTAACAGTGCGAGAGAGCGAGATGAGAGCGATCTGGAAGAACTGGGCCGCTTTGGCGTAAACATTCTCCCCCCCTGGGGGCGGCTGACGCCGTGGCTGAATGGGCTGTCGACGAGAAATCCCGGCCCTTTCGTGCAGATGGAGCAGCGTGTGACGGTTCTGCCCGCACTTTTTGCACGTGTCGCCACTGCGACATTGCTCCCCGGAGTGTTGATGAGCCAGGCTATTCGCACAATATTTATTGATGAGAACGGCGCGGAGCCGCTTGTCCCTTCTGAGCCTGAGGAACCGGGTACACTTCCGTAGAAGATGGATGCCTCGACAGACTCGGCAGCGGTAGGTCTGAGTACCTCGAGAACGCCTGTCGTCCAAAGTTTGCGAGGACGTGGAGCCATGGTTTTGATGCTTTAATAATACAGAAACAAAGGGAAATTATAAGTGAAATTAGTCTGTATTATAAACGGATTTTGAAGCATAAGGAAGGAAGGCGTTATTGCGGAGTTTTAGAGTGAACTACTCTTGGATTAAAGAACGGAGCGGAGTTTGGAGGCAGACTTGAAGGAGCAAAGCTGCAGGGTTACCAGGTAAGTTTGGAGCCAATGGGGATTCAGTTGACGTAGGAGTTACTGTTCCTTGAGGAAATTGTGGGACAACAGGTGGAACTCCTGCTGGAGTAAAACACGATGGCGGCAGTCCTGGTGCAATTGGTGTCGGTGCAGGACCAAAGACACCTCCTACAGGTGGCTTGAATATTCCTTCAGCTACGGTTCTTGATGATGTTCCAGGCAAAGGAGCAGGTGGCGCAAAGAAACTTCCCACTGCAGGGGGAGCTACTACTTCAGTTGAGGGTACAGACTGAGCCGTACCGGGTACGAAGCAGTTACCTCCCGACGGTACGGGAGGATTTAAGCCCCCAAACATGTTCGACGATGGAGCGTGGGCTCCTGTCGAACTTTCCGAGTAGCCTCCTGGTTGCTGAGGATTGTTGTAACCTGGCTCACTGCTTCGGCCAGTGGCGGATTGGACGAGTCCTCTGATATTTTGCAAAACTCCCGTAGGGACGAAGCTGGACAAAGAGAAGAGTCCTCCGCCGGATTTTCGTTCTTCTGTGGCAGATGGTGCTGATTGGGTTGTTGGTAAGGGGGAAAATAATGTAGATGTTGTAGGTGGAGAAAATAAGGATGCAGCAGAATCTTCTCCAGCATAAGAAAAGAACGATGAAACTGATGAAGGTGCTGGTTCAGCAACGAACTGTGCAGCACTTGAAGTCGGTGATGGTGCAGCTGTTGGTGGTGGTGGATACAATGGTATGCCCGGACTTTGCCCCGATATAGCTGGCACTGGCACGAATAATGGAATCTCTTGCTCCACTGGCGCTGATGGAGCCGAATAAATATTTCAGTCCTGATCTACTCTACTTGTGGACACAACTTGTGAAGCATTTACTTCCGAACTGGCTGGTGGATTTTCTTTCAAAACAGGTTCGATAACACGAGGCGCAAATAATGCGGCTTCGATGGGTGTAGTCATCGATTCTTCTTGAATATTGGACTTCTTGGGTTCCTCTTTTGTGGGTATGTTCTCCACCTCCCAGTACTTAGTGACAAGTTTTCCTAAGACCCTGTCACTCGTGTCGGTTATCCGGGTCGTAAAAACTGATACCCGCTCTTGGCTCGAAGTACTAGAAACTGGGCCGGTAAGCACCCAGCCAAAAATAGTTTCCCGACCTAGGAGAGAGCCACAAATGTTTGTTCGGGTGCCGCTCAGCAAAACGGGATGAAAGAATTTCAGCTCCGATAAGAACGTCTATCTGGGATTTCTGGAGTCATGTGGGATCTGCCCATTGAAGGTTTGGCCAATCTCTCAGGACATCTTGTGGAATGGAATGTGAGGGTAATCTGCCTGCTAATTCTAGCAGAACATACGCTGCGGTGTATAACTGCATACCCGGCTTAGTAGGAGAACGAATGGCGAAATGGCAAAGCCGAGTTGACTGGGCAGAAACGGTCATATTTAAACCCGAAACTTGGGCCTGGATGAGACGGAATGGCAGCTCAGAACTTGGCCGTGCCTAGCAAAACAGCTCTAGGACCGGTTGCGAAATAATTCTGCACGCCGGGCAGATTTTCTGAACCGTTGGCGGCCCCCTGTACAGCTGGATTTGGTAGACTTACCGAAGAACTATTCCCGTCAGTTGGCCCACGGGAATCGAAGTTGCCTTTATGCAGCAACGTATGATGCTAGTACATTCACGTAGCTGGTGGCCTCTCGCGAAACAATTTAAGCAAAGCCGTTTCTGTTTGATGTAGTTGGTTCGCGCATCGACAGACATCTGGAGAAAACGCTGGATTAAGCGTACGGGATGATTCTCTCTTGCGCACAGATCGCAATTCTTTGGTTTTGTGACCACCTTAGCTTCGAAAGAGTTGAGCTTCCGGGAGAAGGGTGGACTCTTAGTGCTAGAGTGATTGCTGAGGCTTGATTTCATATCCTCAATCGCCTCTAGCGTTCGGTATCGGTCACCAAGAAACGTGTTCATCTCATCCCACGTCGGAATGTCAGACTTGGATGAAAGAGACTGTTCCCATAAAGAGAGGGTCACTTTTGGTAATCTACTGGTGCACAGGAATACCAGGAGACAGTCCCAATTCTCAGTGGAAATATCGGAATAAGCCAGAGCGATCAAACACCCTTGGATTGTGCTCTGAAGATCTTTCAGAGCCTGGTCTGATTCGGAATTGACGGACCCCAAGTTAAAAAGGTTGAGTTGGCTGTTTACTAGCAGTCTCTTATTTTCGAAACGGTCTCGAAGCGCTGCCTATGCTGAAGCGAAACCCTCATTTGTTAGAGGGGACTTGGCTACGATTGCCTTATCCTCGCCGCTAGTTTTAGCGTTGAGATGGAAAAGTTTTTCAACCGGTGTCAGCCGAGTATTGTTGACATAAATTGCTGGGAAAAAATCTCTAAATGTTGGCCATTTTGGATGATCTCCCTCGAATACTTCAGTGTCACATGGCGGTAACCGGAACCCAGACGGAACGTAGTTGGACTGATTGGGTGGAAGGGCGGAGGTTGAATGCTGCGGAGTGGCTTGATCCATGGGCTCGTTGAGCTGAACCGATAGGTCTTCGTACACCGAATAGCAATATTCATATTTTCGATACAGAGTCGCCAGAATCTCCTCCTCTCCTTCAGTCGTAATGCTGCAAACCGTGTCTTGACACGATTCAAATTCTCTCTCGGCTTTTTCCCAGAGTGAGCGGACTTGTTCTTTACGGACCTTGCAGGTGTGGATGGACTGAGCTGATTGTCCTGGAGTTTCTATGGTCGTTCTGAAATGACTCATCCGGTCGGACACCGTGATGAACCGCGCGAGGGCTGCAAATGCAATGTCGTCGCTCATTTTTGCCTGAGAACGAGTTTTTAGCGACTTTTCTGATTTGGTCTGGATTTGTGACCTAACCTTAGTCGTTAGCGGGCTTAGAGCCAATAGTTTTTGATGGCTCGTAGGAACAGACCACTTCTTGTCGCCTTCTTGGGTGGCTAATGAAGTTTCGCTACTTGCCTTCGTTGTTGGCTTTGAAGCTACTGGGCTTGAGGTGCGGGCGCGAGGAGATGCGGATAGCATTTTGTCTCCGGGCATTCCGGGAATCAGATTAACTGAGCAACCCTGAGTGGCTTCGTAGGAATCAGACTACTTCTTAAAAATTTGTCCTGGGATACGGTATCGCTCTTGCGGATCACCGGGGTGGATTTAAAAGGAACCGGAACGACGAACGATGAGAGCTCCGGTCTTCATTTGAAATTTGGAACGAACCGCTTTAATGTGCACGTAAATAACAAGAAAAAATGTATTTATTTATTTATTTAATAGATGTGAGCCGACGGCGTGTTGGACAGGCTTGCAGTGTCGAAGGGTACGTGAAATCAGATTATTTTGATAATAAATAATATAATATATTATATATATTTAATATATAATATAATAGATTGCTGTTGAAATTTTTGTTGGGTGTGCCGTTTGAACGAATGTGTGTTGCTTCCTTATGTATAATATAATATAATAGATTGCTGTTGAAATCTTTGTCGGGTGTGCCGTATGAACGAATGTGTTGCTTCCTTATGTACATATGTTGAGATGGTCGGGCATATGTACGTACATCAAAGAGTGTGCATCTGGATTATCTGTGTTTATGTATGGATGTGTGTGTTTGCGGGAAATTGTAATTATAAATGATGTGGACTGTATTGTAAATGTCGCTTTCGAAATGTTTGTAGGGTGTGCCGTGTGAACGAATGTGTGCTTTTCTTCTATATGTACATATGTTGAGATGGTCGGACATATGTACATACATCAAAGAGTATGCATAAAAGAAAGTAGCAGTACGATAAAAAAGCCGGAATATGGCGATCGTATGCACAAATGGAAAAAGCAATACGAAAAAAAGAAGCCGGAATACGGCGATCGTATGCACAAATGGAAATAGCCGATCAGACAGATTTAAGAAAGTTGGGTTCGTGGGAAATATCTGACTGGTCGGCAATGGAAATATGGAAAATTCGTACTTATCTTTATTGAGGTAAGAAATCCGCCTGTTGAACGCTGGTATGGTATTTGATCGTCTCCTGGAAAATCCGGTTTGAAGGACCAAATGATGGAGTGGGGCGGATTAAATTTTCACACGGCAGATATATTGAAATTTTATAAATTTGTATTTACTGGAGTCAACCGTCTTCGTACAGTGTTAAATTAGAATAGCACTTAAATCTACGGGGGGAAAATGTAAGTGCCGCTCGGAGAGCGGAGTGGAGACCCTTAACAGTGCGAGAGAGCGAGATGAGAGCGATCTGGAAAAACTTTCTCACGACCGTTAAGGCCCCCAGGGCCGGTCGGGAGGCGAACTTGAATTGGGCCGCTTTGGCGTGAACACTCCAAGTTACATTTAGAATGACCTGCACCCCCAAAAAGGCCTGTTAAATGGCAATAATCCCTAACACTATCATTTAATAATAATTTTTTACAAATATGGCAATTTAATGAATCCTGAAATTCAAACTCGTCTTCAGGAGTCATTATGATTGGATTAATTTTATTTTTGATAAATCTTTTACAAGAGAGTCTACAAAATTTGATCCTGCGTTACTACCTATTTTTAATACAAATTTACCTAGATTAGAATCAAAGGCAAACTTAATATTATATAATAATCATAAGCTATAGGTATATGAGAGTTTAAATTGAATAATTTTGGGCTTACTAAAATATTTCTGGGCTCCAGCACAAATTCAAAGTCGGCGCACACGACAAACGGAACCTCAAGCTGCTGGCGGTGTTGGGTAAACTCCAGAGTTCGCTTGTGAATTTCCGGTAGCTTGGAGACTTTTCCGATACAAACAGTCTTTTGTCTTAGAGCAGCATCCGCAGATCCAGAGAATTCAGTCAAAATGCTTTCCAATTCCTATATTTCGGGTATAGGTCATACGAGTCCAAGATCATTACATTACGTTCGTAATTCATTCCGTTTTCCCCAAGTGCTCACTACTACCCTAAAAAGGTAAAAATTTCTTTAATTGGGGGTCCCAATATAGACCCTCCATAAATAAAAAGTTTGTTTGGTGTCATTGGAAAGCATTTTTCAAGCCCTTTTCAATAGTTTGCATTATACGATTTTAAGTTAAAAACTGCAACTTTTCATTAAAACGCTTAAAAATAAATGTCTACACCTACACGCACAAGCAGATATCAGCACACACTTGAGGATTGGGGTGAGTTCGCAGCTCCACACACAAGCAGACCCGAGCGCACACTTGAGGGTAGGGGTGAGTTCCCAGGAGAACTCACCAAAGGAGATAGCATAGGTCATGTCTTTCAGAAAACCAATGGAGGGAGGATCTTATAGAATACCTGACTCAGGCGCACACATACATACCGAGTATCCGTGCATATAAGTATTTAAAATTTTAAAATCAATTCAGCAAAACGTAAAACTGATGTATTATAATCAGTCTGTATCCTATGTTCTAGCTACTAGAAATATCTTCGAAACATGTTTTCAGAAAACAATTACTGCAACGTTACACTCCTTGTATCCATTTTCTCCTTACTTACTGAAATCTAAAAAATCTGAAATTTGAATAAACAACTTGAAACATTGACTTATACTTGACTATGCCCTTGACAATTTTATTATGGTGCGTCCATTAACGTATATCGGTTCTCCATATCGTCACATTTTATTTCTTCTTTGAACACGTGCACTGAATTTAAAAACTATAATTTATGGGTTTATGATTTCTGTGCCAGAATCCATACTGACTAAAAGGGTGGTGAGGGGCAATCTTTATCACAGGAGAGGACGGATAATAGGTTTCGATTTGGGGGAAACCATGTTTTTATCACTAATGTGACAGCTTAATAGCCCATAAATCTGTGCCAGAACCAGCTTTATTTACCTACTACCTATAAATTAACTCATCGGTTTTCCATTCAATTCATCTTTAAAATATCCTAACCTCTTTTTATTAACTTTTGTAAAATTATATAAATCGATCCTTCTTTCTGAATAGTCGGATGTATAAAAATGTTGATTCAATCTCTTTTTATTAACTTTTTTAAAATTATATAAATCGATTCTTCTACCTGAATAATCGGATGTATCAAATTTTGATTCAATATCACCACGAATATCCTTATAAAAATCATCAGTTTTTATAGTATAGATGATAGAGATAAAACTAAATTTTCTTGAAATTCGGGTTTCATGTATTGGTAATGAAAATCTCACATAATCCACTTTGATATGTCCAATACAGCAAAACCCAAATACATTGGCTTTTCAAATACCACAGAAAGTTTTTTCATTTGGATGGCATAGAACTCGTCATTTATTTTAGTTGCACTATGAAAATTGCATTTTAAAATTAAACTTTTTGCACAGTGTTTTTTTGACGGACTTAATGAACATCTGTAGACTCACATGTAGTAACCAATTTAAGTTGTTGTATTCTGTCTATGTAAAGTATTTAAATCAATATAAGTTTGTAGCCAAGGTTTTTGTAAAAAGCGAGCCCCTCCATGAATCTATTTTTATATAAACCCATGTTTTATACATTGCTGCAAATTTCTATTATGAATGACATAATTTATTTTGTTCCCTAGGTCAGCTTTTAATTTTCTAACTTCAACCTCTTTAGATCAAAAACTATTTGACGGACAAAACGGAAGATCATTATGTGTATTTTGAAGGCGATAGGGGTAAATCAGGTCTACTTCCGAAAAATATACATACTCTCTATCAATAGATATATTATGTATATCAAAATTTTTTAAAGTATTAGGGGACAACCATTCACATCCTTTGTATGGGAGCGGTTGTGATATTGCCAAACCATATAAAGTGATCTAAGTACATTAAAAAGGATGAGTCCTTTCTTGAATCATAATCTGTTAAGTACTTGTTATTTGCTTTTGTATAACTTAACAAATAATAAACTTAACAAGATAATAAATCGGACCGTCGCCGTATGCAGACGTGTATTTTCATTGTCCTCCGGGGGAAAAAAAATAAAGTATTCAATAATATCCAAAAAAGTGCAGTGACTGGTTTCGTAAACCAAAACAACGCGAAAAGACGCTTTCAGCGATGAAAATCGCTAATGTTTATATTGATTAAATAATTTATTAATATTAAACAAAACACTAATTCTAACAAACTCAACCTCGACTGCAATGAGCAAGACGAGAGACGGCTATCAGTACAAAGAAACAACGCTTACTTCTCTTTCAAAGCAACCGAAAGTATTGCAAGCTCTTCCCAAACACGGTCAATTACCCCAAACTTGACCGAATTCTTAAACGTAGAGAGCGAGAGAGCGCGTTCTTGCTCCCCCTCGCTACCATCGATGTCTCTGCAGCCAAGGAGCGCAGCAACTAGCACCGCAATTTCTTTGACAACGTCAACCATAACAACAACAACAACCGCAACTGTAACGACAGCGCGATTAACGCCGTCATCAGCTAGCAGCACAAACATTAATATTTCTGCCCCTGCGCTGCCCGAAAAAGAGAACAAAAACAAAGAAAATATTAAGCCGGCTGTGCAGACTGGTATCGATCGCTACATCCAAATCAAAAGGAAGTTAAGCCCCCTAAACTCGCAACGCTAAATAACCCGTGGCATAGCTGCAATAGAAACACCCACTAACTCAAACCGTTTTATAATCTTGGCAGACTATGAGGATGATGCCGAATCTACTGAAGTCGAAAGGAAGACCAAGCCCCCGCCAATTTACATACAAGAAAAAAAGTTCCAACGTTCTTGTAAACAAAATTATAGAGCTTATTGGCAAGGACAATTTTCACATAATACCACTCGTAAAGGGCAATATCCAGGAAACAAAAGTTCAAACGAAGTCTGAAGATAATTACAGAGTATTATCGAAATATCTCACCGACAAAAAAAGAACTTTTATACTTATCAGCTAAAAAGCAGCAAGGGCCTGCAAGTCGTACTTAATGGCATAGAGTCCGAAGTATCGCCTGCAGAGATAACAAAGGCGCTACAAGAGAAGGGATTTAGCGCTAAGACAGTCTTCAATATCCTTAACAGGGATAGAAAGCCGCAGCCACTCTTTAAGGTTGAG